ACAATTAATAACAACAATAATAATAATAATAGTACTAATAATCATGTGGCACACGCGTACAATGTGAAATACGAAGACAGGCGACTCTACCAACGGTTTTCTACGAGCTCAGCCGAACGTTTCCGAGTCCGGCCGAGTGGACCGACGTCGGCTGTCACGTGACATAGTGGGCAAGGCCCGAACTTGGCCGAACTCTGCTGAACGGTATACCGAGATGTTTTTCGGAGTTTTCGAATGAAAATATGCAATTTTTGGAATGCGCGTCGAATGATGCCATGACAAAAGAGTGACGCGTATTCGATGCTTATATGTGATATATATATACGTATAGTAATAGCGCCAATAATAATGATAATAATGATGATATGAAAATGACAATGCGATGCTTCGACTCTCGTATATTCAGTCGATGCCAGAACCTCGGCCAAAGTGAAGATTGCCAAAAATCAATTCGACTGTCATTAATCGTTTCTTTTTTTTTTTAATTCTGTCACTCATTTCCTTTTTTATTTTTTATTTTTTTTTTATTTAACGACACTGTTCTCCATGTCTAGCGGAGGTTCTCGGCAACGTATTATATTCGCCTATGGTTCGGCTATTTTTTTCTCTGTACCCCCCTCTCTCTAGCCAATCCCTTCATGGTTCCACAATCCTCGCCCGTTATCTCTTTCCTGACCGGAAGGCGGATTTGGAAAAAAAGTATTAAAAAAAGAAAACAGGCCAGGGTGGGAAAAATACTGCCGTTGCCAAATTTGACTGTCTTAGCGGCTTTCGTAAGCGTGCAGATAGATCATAAAAAATGCACATGCGATTTTCCATTGCTTGCCATCCCCTCTCCCACCCCTTAGAACCCCTAACCCCCCGCGGTCAAAATCGTCACTAAATTTTTTTTCGAAGCATCCCCTCGCCCCGAAAAAAAAAAAATTAAAAATCCAGCACGTGATACGACGGTACGTGAATTCGAGATAAGCAAAGCGAAACACGTATGCGCACTTTGAACTAAAATTTTCACGCAAACCCCCGAGTATCAGCAACCACCCCCTCAGCCCTCTCGGTTCGACTCGATCGTCCCGCGCGAATGAAAATTAGCCTTTTTAATTACTTTAAATTACACGTAAAAATTATTCGCGCTCCGCAGTAATAGACCTACTTAGTTTCTGGCTTTCCTTTCTCTCCCTTATCCTTCGTCCCCTTTCACGTCGTTACTAATATATTATAATCTTATTATATATCTATATATATGTGTGTATATATAATAATATATATATATATATTTTTTGAGAATTTTTTTTTCATCCTTCTTCGTCTCTCTAAATTTCCTCTAAAAACTGTCACACCCTCCTGTCGGCGCCCTTGATCCCCCCTCCCACCCCCTTATCGTTATTTTCATCCCTTACTAAAAAAAAAAATTCTTATGCTTCGCACACACGCGTAAATACGCAAACGCACAAAAAATCAACAGACACACCACCGACACACTGAGAAACACTTCACACTTATTTTGTTGTCCCTTATCTATTTTATCCTCGTGATTTCAATCAGACTTATATTGAAGTGAATGACATATTATTTGCTCGATTTATCCCTTATACGCGCGATATATATATATATATATATATATATATATATATATGTGTGTATATATAGTTAAGTTGGAACGTGGTTGCCAAGAGAATACCTATAAATATATATGTCATCACCGTTTTATCATTTTTTTAATTTTGTCGTTTTTTTTTCATCTTTTTTTTTATACTTAACATAGAAAAAATATAGAATTCACTTTGCTTTGAAACTTAAATAATAAACTTCTATCGAGCATTTTCATGTCGTGTAAGTGTTAGCATTCTCATGTCAATACATATATAATGTACCTGAAAGTGCGACGACGCCTCGTCGACGCTTGACGTCGTCAAAAATTAATTTTTTTTTTTTAATAATTACGGAATATACAAGGAACGCGCATGCGCATTAGGCGCTGATCGCGCGGGCTGAACGAAGGAAAGAAAATCCAACAGGGTGGTCAAACAAGAGTATATGTGTGTGTATGTGTGTACAGAGAGAGAGAGAGAGAGAAAGAGAGAGAGAGAGAGAGAGAGAGAGAGAGAGAGAGAGAGAGAGAGATATGGGGGAGGGAAGAGTGGGAGCGAGTGAGCAAGACATAGAGAGGGAGAAAGATGGAAAAAAATTAAGAAATTTCAGAAACACCAAAGAGTATCAAAAATTATAAAAATTGAATAAGGAAAAGTGAAGAGAATGAGTGAGAAATGTCAAATGGAAAAAAAATATTTAAAAATCCCATGACCGTCCTTTTGTTTTATCTTGGTATTTTTTTTCTTCAAATTCTGTCACGTTAAATTCCTTTTTCCATCAAAAGATTAGACGAGCGAGAAAGAGAGGAACAGGAATGAAGAATATAGACGAAGATCCGATTAATTAAGATCATTAGAACGTGTCGCAGGGGAGTGGGATGATTATATATATTGATAACAGTAAAAATATCCATTTCGTCCGTACCAATTTTTTGTTGGTTCGGCTCGCGCACAAGCATAAGACGATTTGAGCATATTTTTCATGGGCAACAATCAAATGCAATTTGGAAAAACACCAAAACAAGGTAAAATCAATAAGGACGATAAAAGAATCCCCAAAAAGAAAAAGTAAAAATTACTCGTTCTCCCTTCTCCCTCGTTCCACGGGCACGACCATCCAGTCGATTGATCGATCGAATTAATCGATCGCTCTCTTACGACAATCGAACGACGAAAAAACACATTCAGGTAAAATTCACCGAAAAAAAAAGTATTTCACGTAAAAAAGAAAAAAAAGTCATTTCCAAAAATATATTGTACAGACACAACGAAAAAAAAAAGTCAAACGAGATCGCTCGGGAGATCCGAAGTCGTTACTGATCGTAAAAAAAAAAAAAAAAAAAAAAAAA